GCTCAAGATACTCTTGAGTCTTTTTTATCTAATTAGGCTAGAATCAATTATGAAAGAGGAATGGAATACATATCGATTAGAATTGTTTAGGATAGAGTACAGTCCAGTCTGTATATCCAAACATTTGATACACCTATTTTGTCAATGATTATCATACCACTGACCAGATGATCATTGCACCACTACATCTTTTATGGAGGTCACAATCTCAACACTCATTGGATCAATGTTTAAACTGGCTTCTCATGAGAAACAGTGCATTTCAGGTTATGGTGTCAAATATTATATTAATACTATTCAACTACTTTCACATGGAGTTGAACTGGTATTTTGTGATCTGACTTGTGGAGCACTAACCACTGTGCTATAGACCTACAGGTCTAATTTATTAAGTATTATTTCTTATAAAAAATCAATTTATATATTAAACTAATAAATATTAAAATTGTAATTTTCAGAAAAGATATTATAGTATAATAATTATTTGATTAATATAATAAAAATCTAAAAGTTACCATATATATATATAAAATATCTACTTTTAATGAGATAGTTTGATAATTATTTTTTTATAATATTTGATATTTCTTTTTACAAGTTTTTAAAAAGTTTCTATTCCAATTTAATAATAGATTATTTTGATAGTTACTTATTTTAAAAAGATTAAAATAGCAATAAATATCAATAGTTAAAATAATCTATAGTTTGTAAGTTTGTAAAATAAATTTCTTAATGTTTTTGAATAACTCTAAAAAAAATAAAAATTAAATAGTACAATTCTTTATAAATAGTTAAATCTAAAAGGTTTTTTTTATAAGTTCTATTCATCAATATAAATACTACTTCTAGTTTCCTCCTTTTAACTTTTTTTTAGTTTATTCATATATTAATAAATATTTTTTAATTGCAAATGTTTTATTAATAATTTTTTTTAATTATTAAATATATATTTTTAATGTCAAATGGTATAAATTGAACCAAACATAAAACTTTGACATGAATTTATATCAATAAATTTGTATTTAATTGATTGTAATTTGATAATCAAATAATTTAAATAAAATCTTCAAGATATTAAATATTTTATATTTTATTAAAATAAAGTATTAAGGTATAAGGCCTTGTAAATTAAGTTAAAAAAAATTAATATTATAAAATTTCTATATTTTAAAAAGGAAAATTTTAATATCTCAATGAATTTAGATTGATTTTGATGATTTTATTACTATTGAAATTAAAAAAATTCACTCTATAACTTTATTAAAAGTATAAATTAATTTATTTAATAAATTTTTCGTAATTTAATATTTACTTCAATTTTATGTATAATTTGAATTTAGTATACTCTACCTTTTCTTTTCATAAAATACTGTATTTAAATATTTTCAAATCTTTAAACAATATAAGTAATAGGTTAATAAACATTAATTGCAAAAAATTTATTTGATATAATATTACTGTATACCACTTTTTTTTCCATAATTTTTAGGAAATGCATTTAGAAAAGATTATTTGCATATACATCACATTAGCTTATGATGTGATACAGTAAACTGTGACGAACATAGCACGAATTTTATAATCAAATAACTTATTTGATTTTATTATTCATTTTGCGAGAACAATTTATCATCGATTCTCATCAATTACTTTTGCCAATCTACATGGCTAAATTGCGTATAAATAAAAAATCATAGAATGATTTCTACAAACGATTAACATTGCCTAAATCTTCGCAAGCTTCCTTAACACGCTTAATCATAGACTTTTCAGCTTCACGAATGAACACACGGGGATCATAGTATTTTTTGTTGGGCTTATCTTCGCCTTCAGGATTACCCACTTGGGATTGAAGATAACCTTTTTTACTTTCGTAGAAATTCTTTATGCCCTCCCAATAGGCCCACTGGGTATCCGTGTCCACATTCATCTTGATCACACCATATCCAACAGCCTCACGAATCTCATTTTTGACCGAACCGCTGCCACCATGGAACACGAGCCATACAGGTTTATCGTCCTTGCATTTCAGCTGATCTTTAATATAATCTTGATGTTTTTTAAGCAAAATTGGAGTCAATTTTACATTGCCCGGTTTGTAGACGCCGTGAACATTACCGAAAGCAGCAGCGATTGTAAACAGATCGCTAATTTTGCTCAATCTACGATATACTTCATAAATGTCTTCGGGTTGTGTGTATAGAGACGCGTTATCGATATCAGTGTTGTTAACACCATCTTCCTCTCCACCAGTGATACCGATTTCCATCTCAAGCAATAAATTAATCTTCGACATACGCGTAAGGTATTTTTCACAGATTTCAATATTTCTATCCCTTGGTAGCTCGGAGAGATCAAGCATATGAGAGCTGAATAGAGGTTCGCCGTGCTTCGCGAAATATTCTTCATCGGCTTCCAACATTCCGTCGAACCAAGGCAAAAGTTTTTCGGCACAATGATCAGAATGCAATACGACAGGACTAAATACGTGATTGAATTTCAAGAGTAAAAAATTTTTTATATTATTAACGCGCTTTTGCTTGTGTTAGGAACGACTAGTCTAAGGTGAAGTTTTCTTACATTCCAAAAGGAGAAAATGGGAGTGGAACTTACACTTCGTACTCCTTCGCCAGGAGCCTTATATGGTGTGCCGCAGAGATAGAACCTTTAATACTGGCTCTTTGATTCTCATTGCTTATACCCTTACCCGCATAAAAAGCGGAGCCACCTTGGGAAAGTTGAATAATAATTGGTGCCTTTATATCACGAGCGGCTTCCAAGACAGCATTGATGGTCGACGAAGAGGAAACGTTAACCGCTGGAATGGCGAAACCTTCACTTTTCGCATAATTAAATAATTTACGAACATGTTCGCCAGTAATTACACCGGTAGGAATTCCTAGTTCGAATACACCCATGATTTAAGTAAAAAAAAACTTGTGTGAGAACCCGAAAGTTAAACTATGCAGAATTGACAGAAGATGATCTTATATGATATGTGTCACTGAAATAAATGGTGTGATTATCACATTTTTAATTGATAAATTACGGCACCCCTTGTCGAAGAGTGGTTTAGTCTGTAAAATATGTAAAAATTTTTTCGGGGATGATGCTGAAATTGACCAAAATTATGCAGATCATTAGGCCAGAATTATAAAAAGCTAGACTAGAATTATTATAAGCCCGACCAGAATTATAACTAATATAAATAAATAAAATAATAAAAATACTAATATATTATTATTAATATAAAATTTTTAATAATAATAATAATATATATTCAATGTATTATTATAATATTAATTTCAGCATTCCTGACATTTATTAAAATATTATAGATACAAATATAAAATTTCTTACTTGTCAATAATAGAAAGTCTTTAGATATAATTTATAAAGATGATATATTGCTTGTTTATTAAATTATTTCTATAGTCATATGTTATAAATCCAGATTATACCTTTTTTTTTTTATAAAAACTATATAAAAAAAAAGAAAAAAATATATAATATATATACAGAGGGTGATCACAGGTATTGGAACGATTGGATAGTGATTAATTAAGTGATGATTTTTTATATATAAAAAAAAAAATTTTTTTTTAAAAAACTTTTT